TCAGACTGACATATAATACCAAAATGTGTTTTCAAGTTAACTATTATTTCTGATAGCACTAAGTTATGGATGGCAGAATATCAATACCCTCCCACACCTGCTTACCGGCACTCAAAATTTTGGGGTTAGAGGGCATGTTTATGCTGTAAAGCTTACATTTAACCCTTTCAGGGTCCAGAGGCCAAATTTCAAAGTGTGTACCAGTGTCCAAGAATTTTCAAAAAATAATTCTTTTTTTTTCTTATGAAATGGTAGAGAATCTTTTTATGAAGGTAATATAACAAAAAGTAAGAAATTTGATGGAAAACTGACGAAATTATGCTCTCACGAATTTTGATGTGTCAGCGATATTTATGCATTGGCGATTTTGCCGACTTTGATTCCCGTTTTAGGCCAATTACATTATTCCAGTCAAACAAATTCTTAGCTATTTCACTAGTATTACTTCTATTCTATCGACTGAACACAAGAAATCACCAAGTCAACTGTTTCAAACTGCAAAATGACGTGTGAGGTCATTTTGAACATCAGCAAAAAATTAACATTTGAGCTACTTTGAGCTCAGTTTCAAGCCATTTTCAATAATGAAACCAATCAAAATCATCTCTAGTTCTGTAATGTATCTTCCATTCTATCAAATGAGACCAAGAAATCGCAGGTACAAGTATAAAAAACATACGAAAAAACACTGTAAAGTTGCTGTTTTAATCGAAAATTATGGTCTCAGTTTTTTTTCTCTCATTATGCACTGTGTGCTGCAGGATTTGTTTTATGAGGTGCACACATACAACATAGATGTATTCTCTCATATCTAGGCCCAAATTTACCAATCACAGCTTATCAGAGTGAGGTGAGCTCATGGTGTAGATCTATGGTTTGGACCCTCAACGTAAAGCTGTAGATCTATGGCACGGACCCTGAAAGGGTTAACAAGTTTTCAAAACATTCTCTATTAGATTTAAATTTAGCAAGTTTCCAGACCAGTTATTAAAGTCTGCAAAAAAACTAAAATAATTAGCCAATTTTTTGTCTTTGGCAGTACAGCAAGAGGCACTGTCTTCTATACAAAAGTTTTCCCTATCACTTCCTGAATCTGTCAGGATAATAGTCTATTAAAGGCATACTTATGAACATGCATATTTATGATGTCTACTGTAAATTCAGAAATTATCTCATCATAAATGCTGAAGTTGAGAGCTTGTCAGCTCTCTTCTAATTTCAGATTTTTATCATCCACAAGAGCCTAGGGGCAAAAATAATCTCGTAAAATATGCGGATAAGGATGTATTTCATGTTTTAGTTTTTAACAGCATTTGAAAAAATATTCTTAGAGAAAGTATCTTTAGGGGCTTAGTCACCACCAATTTCTTAAAACTGTGTGATTATGGCATCCATTTATTCATTTAAATAATGCTTCACATGACTGATTTTCTTTTCAGTAAATGTGAATAATAACTTAAGAAATCCACTCCTTCTCTGGGGAGCAAAGTCACACATATTATGTGATAAATATCTTTCCAGAAATAAGATGCATTATTTACAAGATAGTTCCATGCAAAATGTGAAAACATTATGAAGATACTAATGCATTAAAAACTCAAAAACTTGGGAAAAGTTAGTACCAATCTCCAAAATTCTCTCTTGAACTAAAAATTTGTATTCAAGGATAACTGAAGCACTGGAGCACAGAAAACTGTCAGCAAAATTGTGTGATAATTTCTCTATCTAATCCTTGATCGATTAAACTCTTTTTGGTAAGAGATGATCTGGCACCCTTATTTTAACCATTTTTATATACCACTATATATACCTGGTCATGGACCAGGTTGCAGGGGTGTTGACCAATGAAACTGCCTCCAGGTACACTATACATAATACAGTAATCCCCCTGCTCATCTCTATGATTTGTTGCATGTTGACTATGGAGCATGTTTTATTTTTTTTACACCCCTCAAGGTTTAGGCCTTTTTTTGGTTTGAGTCATGGTTTTTGTAATTACCATACAACTTGAAACTATAAATTTCTTAGCTAAAGAAAGCCAATAAAAATGAAAGAACAAATCTATTGAAACAGGTATATTTTTTTTATTTTACCCAGAAGTGCTTAGGAAGCTAACAGTGGTACAAGATATGACTGAAGCATGTGAAGCAACTCACTGGGCAAGGTTTAATTTAAAAAACTTGAGAGACTCAATTAACTACTTCATTCTCTCCAACCAGACTCCATCCAAATTAGTTTTGTCATCACATAAATATAGCATGATAATGCAAACAAGATTAATTTCATTTTTTTGGGGGGGGGAGGGGGGATATCATATTGCTGAATAAACCCATAAGGATCATGCAGAACTTTTTTTTTTAACATACTCGCTGTCTCCCACAGAAGCAGTGTGATCAAAAAATGAAACACTTTCATCATCATTCACACTATCACAGTCTTGCCAGAGGCACACAGAAGTGACAGTTCAAATGTCCCTCCAAACAGTAAGACACATGTGTGATTACAAGTGCCACAAAGCATCACATTTTCAACTTCATATTAAGTATATACCCCAAATTACTTGACAATAATGTCCAAATAGCCTCCTTTAACAAAAACTGAAGCAAATAACCCAAACACTTTATAAAATATATTCTAAATACGTATTCAGAAAATTCTGAAAATATTCATTAATTAGTTATCAACCATGATTGTTACTAAATAATTATGGTTATAAAAATATTTCACTATTTTTTTCTAATTTGAAAGTAGTGTTATAATTAAATATTACTAAAATAATTAATAACATTTTATATTAGTTCAATCTATTTGTTGATCGAATGATGGCAGCAGAGACTCGCCAAAATTCAAAGACTAAGTATTTAGGGTCAGATAATAGTTAGTTATGATGTTGACTTAGAAGTTCCTAATAATAGTTATTAATTAGTTTTCACGACAATTTTTTATTACTGCCTTCTATATGTACGATATACAAAGCAATGCATTAGTTATTCTGTGCCAAAGAATAAAAATAATTCTGTTTCTAAGCACACACTAGATTTAACTGCTGTATGATTATTATTTAGTGTTACGATGATAGATTAATAATGCTAAATTTTACAAGTCAATAACCTGTACTCGACTAAACTCAGTTAAGTCAAGTTATAGAATACAGATCATAAAAGCATAAATCAGGATAATCTAAGGGTAGGGAAGTACAGATTGGGAACATCTGAGCTTGGAAAGAGCAGATATATGAGCTAGGGAGCACTTATTCAAAATGACACACCAGGACTAAGCAAGGAATACGATGATATAGCTGTTTCTATATGCATGTAATAGATACTATTTAATATACATGATAGTATCACAGATTTTGTTACAACAAAAATAAGACATCTACCAGAAATTCATTTTCAGCCACTCGCTAAGTAAGACCATTGGGAATTATTTACCAAACTGAATAGACTACATATAATCTTTGTTGAAATATCTTACAAGATTACTATAATAGATAATAGTTTAAGCATGAGTGTTTCATATTTGATAATGGCATACTGCATACTTTTTGTTTATCAATTAATCAATAAAACACTTTGTGTTATTATTATTGTTGTTAGCAATACCAGCAATGTGTGGAAAAGACATTTATAAACAGCTCAGGACATTTATCAAAGGAAACGTTCTGCCACGAGTGGCTGTGTCAGTTCTAATATGGAGATACCTAAGAAATGAGTATATATAGTAGCAGGAGTCAGATGAAAAGCCATGAGGGTAGTAGCTGTACTACAGCTACTACTACTACTACCACCACCCTCGCAGTTTTCCACCCGACTCCTGCTGCTATTTATACTCATTTCTTTGTTATCTATGTATTAGAACTGAAGAAGGCCCTTGTGGCAAAACATTTCCTTTAATAAATGTCCTGCACTGTGCACAAGTGTCTTTTTTCCACATCTTGTCGGCATCACCATACCATTCCTCAATACCAGGAATAGTTAGGTAAATGGACATGTACAACTTAAGAAATTTATTTAAGGAAACACATTCCACTTTAAATACACATCACCATCACTTGAGACACTATCACTACTACGTCACACTCCTTCCCTATACGTGCATATTGTGTCAACGTAATGTACACAATGGCTTGACAAAGCCATTGGTGGGTGAACTGTTACCTTAATGAATGTTTCATTCAGTTGGATGTGTCCATATTTACCTAACTAAAACACTTCTACAAAAGTTTATGTAATTATCAATGTGCCATATTGAACATACACTTATTTACAACCTTCAATTGTACTAATAAATTAAATTTATTTTAGATTTTGTCTATGAAAAAATATTCAGTATTAAATTCTATTTTTGCCTTTGTGTTAGTCTGGTAAATTTATTGCCAATATGGTTACCTTAAAAACACATCAGATTCCTACCACACAACACCATCAACTTTACACAACACAATTTGTCCATAGTTTAAAAAAAATGTAAAAAAACTGAATATAAAGTTGAGAGAAAAATGTTAATGTGCTTTAGTGCATTCCTACCAATTATTCCACCACAAACACATTAACAAGGGCATGGCTCCAAGGGTATGAAGAATTACAAATAATTAAATTTTATGGCAAGATGTCTTTGATGACTAAGCAAAATACTCATTAAAGACTATGTTTAAAGATACTCTTAACACGTGGTGATTATACTTCCAGAATTCTCTCTAGTTAACAGTACGTACATAAAAGTCTATTGAGTCATCGATGTGACAAGTGGTCTGCCCCTTAATAGAACTCCATGCCCTGTATATCAACACCAGTAACCACAATGATCATATGATTTGTAATACTAAACATCATATGATAAATGTTATTACAACTGTTCACACCTAGCACATTACACATCACATCCATCACCAACATACAACTGGCTAAAGTACAACTCTCCATGGATACTGCTAGGATGAAAAAAAAACAATCGTTGGTTTTGATAATCCTGTATGTCAACCGTTTAAGATAACTCACCCTCTTGAATTCCTCGGTTTCTTCTACATGTCCAAGAACATGTTTTGTAAGAGCGTGAAGGATGTCCAAACAGTGGATCTTATCCCCCTTTGCAATGGGAAGGTCGAAAGACACAAGGGCAACGTGTTGTTGGTTTGGGGATCCCAAAGGGACCATCCAGACTTGCAATGAAGTCTGATAGTTGTGAGAAGTTGATGAACTGTGTGGCATGGGGATCATACCTGAAAATTGTCACATAAGTAAGAAAATTTCTCATTTGCAGATTAGGATTTTTTTTATCAAGTATTTCAAGAACATTCTAGAAATTTGGAAAATATTCTAGGAATTAGGAGAATGTTCTAGGAATTTTGCATAATATTCTAAAATTTTGTAGGGAAAATTGAAGATCCTGTGAAATATTCTGAGGATTTCAAGGAACAGTGAAAATTTCAAGGAGTACCTGAGAATTTTTTTTTTTTAAATATTCCGGATTTTACTGAATACAGTGGACCTTGACTTACGATATTAATCCGTTCCAGAGAGCACATCGTAAGAAGAAATTATCTTAAGTTGAATTAATTTTCCCCATAAGAAATAATGGAAATCAAATTAATCCATTCAAGACACCCAAAAGCATGAAAAAAATTTTTTTTACCACATGAAATATACATTTTTCTTACACACGAAAAGAAGGATACATGCACAATATATATTGTGCATGTACTAGTGTACTAAATGAAGAATAAATGATACTTACCTTCATTGAAGATGTGGTGATGAGTGATGAGACACTCCTGGGAGTGCCTTTTCCTCCTGAGTAATGTAGGTCCTGTTTGGCATTTTCTTTCAGAACAGGCCTTATCACACTGTGTATGCCACTACAATTCTTAAATCTCTCAAACCAACCTTTGCTGGCCTTAAATTCACCAATTAGGCATTTTTTCCTATTCACCTGGGTGTTAGTCGACTGGTGTGGGTTGCATCCTGGGGGACAAGATTAAGGACCCCAATGGAAGTAAGTTAGACAGTCCTCGATGACACACTGACTTTCTTGGGTTATCCTGGGTAGCTAACCATCTGGGGTTAATTGTTTCTTGGTATTCTTGATAAGCCCATGGTGGCTTATTTAGCAGTTTCAAGCACTAAAAACACGAATACAAAATTTATCGAATGTATGTGTGCAACCGTCCACCCTGGCTTATAAACAATGTCACACTAGCTCAGCTGAGGCGCTCAGGCCAGACGGCCGTGTTTGGGACGAATGATGTAAGTCGAGTTTTTCAACATAGGTTGGGGTCAGATTTTTATGCTGACAAGCATCTTAAGTCAGTTTTATCGTGGGTTGAGGCCATCATAAATCGGGGGTCCATTGTATTCTGGCTATCTTCTTAAGAACTTTCTGATGATTTTTATGAAGTCAGGATTTTTTAATACTGAAGGGATTTTGGTGAATATCCTGCAGATTTCTCAGAATGTTCTTGAAAATTTGTAAAATATTCATATGAGTATTCATATTATTCTAGGATTTTTTATATTTCAGAAAAGTTTCTGAATATTCAGGTAATTTTGCACAATTTCAGATTCTTGGAATTTTTTTAATAATCTTTTCCAACGATTAAAAAAAAAAAAAACAGCATTCCTTAAAATATTCTGTATATTGTGGTGAATTTTCTATGAATTTTACAGAATTCAAGGGAGATTTTATGTTATTTTCTGCAAAATTTGTGTTATCTTCCAGGAATTTGTAGAATAATTTGGGTGTTTTGTAGAAAATTTCATAAAATATTAATTTTATTAAAATGTTTATATTTGTAAATTGAAATATAAAACTGTTTCCACCACAATTTCTTTCCACAGGAAGAAAAAAAAAAAAAAAAAAAACTTATGAAATGATAGAGGATCTTTTCCCAATCATAATGACACCAAAAGTATGAAATTTAATGGAAAACTCACAGAATTATACTCTTGCGAAGCTAGCGGTCTCGACGATGTTTATGCAATGGCAATTTCGCCCACTTTGAGCCCTACTTTTGGCCAATTCCAATGTACCAGTCAACAAAAATCATAACCATTTCACTAGAATTCCATTTTTTCTATCGAATGAGTGCAAGAAACTACCCATTTACCTATTTCAACTGTCCAATAAAGTGGTCAGAAATTGGCAATTTTGCCAATTTCACAAATTTCAAAAGATGCCAATTTCCAAATGGGGTCCAGAATAAACAAGACAGACATTCTTGACACTAAAATAACATTTCCTCTGTTCTGTCACGTCCCCAGGCCTCTTACATTTCTTTTGCTTTCCACTTTGAATTTTTATTCTCACAAACAAATAGAAGATTTACTGTTGTGCAGACTACTGCATTAGTGTAGAAATGGTATAAATATCAGTGCACTTGTGAAAAAAAAATATTAGACTCGCCAGTTGACATGTACTGGATGCATGGCATGATTTGTTTACATTTGAACTTAGGCAAAAATTGAACATTTCTACTACTTTGAGCTCACTTTCAAGGTACTTTTCATTGTGAACCCAATCAAAATCATCTCTATTTCCATAATATGTCTTCCATTCTATAAAATGAGACCAGGAAAACTAAATACAACCATAAACAGCATACGAAAATACACTGCAAAGTCGCTGTTATAAAGCAAAAACACGGTCAGTTTTTTTTTTCTCATTATGCACTGTGTGCTGCAGAATTTTTTTTATACTGTGCACACTGACCACATAGACCCATTCTTTCATATGTAGGCCTACCAGCTTTCTCTTGCTAGATTTGAAGGCACTAGAATTTATGCATACTAGTATGGAACCAACCCTGGCATGCAAGTCATACTAGTATGGCACCAACCCTGAAAGTGTTAACTAAAAAATTTCTGTAAAACCATAGTGTCAAAAATTGTGAATCGTGATGTTGCAAATTTGTAGAGATTACTAAGCAACAAGTATAGACAGGGATGATTTCTTTACATCAACAAAGAATAAGAGGTTACAGTTATAAAGGACCTAGGTAGTAGGTTGGTAGACAGCAACCGCCCAAGGAGGTACTACCATCCTACTGAGTGTAAAACGAAAGACTGTAATCATTTTACATGATGGTAGGATTGCTGGTGTCCATTTTTCGGTCTCATAAACATGCAAGGTTTCAGGTACGCCTTGCTACTTCTACTTACTTCTACTTACATACACAAGCATATATATACACACCCCACTGGGTTTTCTTCTATTTTCTTACTAGTTCTTGTTCATTTCCTCTCATCTTCATGGGGAAGTGGAACAGAAGTCTTCCTCCATAAGCTATGCGTCAGTTGTAAGAGGCGATTAAAATGCCAGGAGCAAGGGTCTAGTAACCCCTTCTCCTGTATAAATTACTAAATTTAAAAAGAGAAACTTTAGTTTTTCTCTTTGGGCCACCCCACCTCAGTGGGATACGGCTGGTACGTTGAAAGTTGAAAGTTATAAAGGAATCATTCCACAGTCATTAACAATCACTGATATAGCCCCACTTCACGAAAGTGGCAATACTGTACAGCAATTGCAAAAACTATTGATCAGTAGTGATGACATCTCACATTATCAAAAATTCTAATATTGTGGTTCCATGTGGCAGTCACACACAATCACAGCAACTGCACAATACAAGGCAACATGGGTTTAGATCAGATTACTCCTGCCTCTCAATTGCTGGACCATTACACCATGGTCTTGGATGCAATGGAAAACAGGCAAAATGTAGATACAGTGTACAAAGACTCAACAAAAGCCTTTAATAAGCGTGACCACCGAGTAATAGCACACAAAATGAATGCAAAACAAAGAGATGAAAAAGTGGGCAGATAGATAACTAACGTCCCAACAAATAAGACCCAAAATGTAATAGTGAAAAGATTGAAATCAGAGGCTGTTATAGTACTTGCCCCACTTCTCTTTCTCATATATGACATTGTACCATCCTTTGCAGACAGTACTAGAATTTGTATGAGAATAGCATCTCTTGGGGACACAGCAAATCTTCAAAATGATACAAGTCAACAACCAACAACACAATGTTCAACGAAGGAAATATCAATTCCCTCCCCCTAAAGAAAATTGAGGAAATAAAGACAACTAAAATATAAAAAAAACCCCTGAATCATACATCAAATGGAATTTAGTGTAGAAACTTAGAAAAAGGAATGTCAAGACTACATTAAGGACCACAACAAAACAAAAAAATATCAGAGCTGGATCAAATTCCCCAGAGATCGTTTACAGTGATACTGTTAATCTTGAACATTTTACCACTGGAGCGAGAGAGAGAGAGAGAGAGGAGAGAGAGGGATGCATGATAATGTTTATACAGGGGAACCCCCTTAACGATCATTTCCCCCAATGCGCCCAATTTATGAAAGTGATTTATGTAAGTGCATTTGACGTGTATTTTGGGGGGGTCAAAATGGACAAATTTTACTTCCAATATTTTATGGGAACCAAATTTGGTCGTAGGCAATGAAAAAACTTTTTTATTTTTATTACACACTGGCCGACCCCACCAAGGCGGGGTGGCCCGAAAAAAAAAACTTTCACCCCCATTCACTCCTCACTGTTTTGCCAGAAGGATGCTTTACAAACAGTTTTTAAACGAAACTTTAAACACCCCCCTTTGGGTCAGGAACTACTTCCCACTCCGGGACTCAAGTCCGCCTGCCGTTTCCCTGGACCCCTTAAAAATGTTACTTTGCTCACACCCCAACAGCACGCAAGTTTTTAAAAAACCTTTTGTCTCCATTCCCCCTATCAAACACCTCTGCAGCCGCGGAAGCCCAACCCCCCCTCGCACACAAAACCTCCTTTACCCCCCCCCTCCAACCTTTTCCGGCCATCCCTACCCCGCCTTTTCCTTCCATACAGACTGAACACTCTTGAAGTCACTCTTTTTCCTCCATTTTCTCTACAGTTCGAACCACCTCAACAACCCTTCCTCAGCCCCCTGGACAACAGTTTTGGTAATCCCGCCCTCCTCCTAACTTCCAAACTCGAATTCTCTGCATTAATACACCACACATTGCCCTAAACATCACCCTCCCCTGCCTCCACCTCTCCTCCCCTGCAAATTCATCACCCATGCTTCACACCCATATAAGGCGTTTGGGGAAAAAATAACCTCAAAATTTCCCCCTTTTTGCCTCCAAGGACAAAAATTCTTTGTCTCCACAGACCCTAAAGGGACCCCCTCACCCTTTTCCCCCCTCACAATTC